TGCATTCGAAACTTGTAGAGCTTTTCTCAGTATATTCACGTGAGTAAACCAGGATTTTTTAGTTAATTTCGCATTTATAATATTAGTAGGATAAAATCACTATAATTTTTAATCGACTTCAAGAAGGGAATTTCTCAGTTGACCTGTATGTATGTATGTGTGTTTGTGAGCGCTGAACCGATATTATTGTGAATTACAAAAAAAAGTGTTTTTTTTTTTACGTTGCCCCACACTAGGATTTTCTCCTGTGTCGTGGGTGCGTTTACAAACGTACAAGTTCAGATACACATGAAACCCAGACCCGGAACAACAATTTGTGGATCACACAAAGTGTTGTTCCGTGCGGGAATCGAACCCGCGAAGCGTTGCACGGCAGCCGGTTGCCCAGCCACCGCACCAACCGTGCAGTCTAGGAGAAGGTTTTAGTATAAATAAACCGTATAAATAAACATAAAGAAAGAGGTACTGAAGTGAAATCTGTTTATTTATAAACGTAGTTTGTAAAATTATTGTTCATCCCTCACTTGTCTACCAACTTTTGTTAAACACTTTGAAATCTCACCTAGGAATCGAACCCGTTACTATCCACAACCACCTAACCACGATTGCAACTAGGCAGACATTAAACACATTGTAGAATACTTAAACATCTCTCAAGTGCCAGTTATCACGTCTCACATCATAAAATTGCACACACAAATTTCATCTTTATCCCTATATGTATAAAGTTGAGAACATATAGAAGAAATGTAGGTTACCTTGATGTGCTGGTGTCTGTATATAATTTCCTCTGTTTGAAATGTACCACTTAAGTAAATAAGACTTGCATGTGTTACTTAATCGCTTGCTTGACGTAAATTGATGGGAGACTGCGATGTTTACGTTGGATAATTTGTATTTTATTATAGTTAGTGTATTTTAACAAAATAATTTTTAACCGACTTCAAAAAAGGAGGAGGTTTTTTTTTATGTTTGTTCGCCGATATCTCCGTTGTTTATGAACCGATTTTGAAAATTCCTTTTTTGTTAGAAAGAAGTTAGTTCCAAAATAGTCCCATGATAAGGAAATCAGGATCTGATGATGGAAGACCAGGGAAACCGAGGGGAACTTTTAAAAATTATAGACTAGTACTTATAGCTTACACACCCACTGATAGTTTAGAAGTCGGTGCCACAAACCCACAACAAAATATAAAGTAGTTAATGGTCACAGCTGGTATAATATCCATAATAAAATTGTAAATAGCTCAATATTTTTTTCCTTTTAGTTTTTACTTTTGGTTTGTCATTAGTTTTTGAAGTCGGTTTTTTTAAACGCACTTTTTTAATTTTTTGTTATATCACTTAAAATAAACATATTACTATCAAACACTAAGCGACGATATTGCATGAAAAGGCTAATGACTGTTGATGAAGCGAAAGAGGTTTGTAAGAATCGTAGCAACTGGGATGATGACGGGGTATGAAAATTAAAAATATAATTAGTCCGTAAGTTAGGTAATGAAAAAATAATGGACGCGTATTTTTTTATTTTGTCGTATAATAAAACAAAACTTAGATAAAACGAATCAAAGTTTAGGAGTGGAGGCTAAAACGTCATTTCTACGTATAAATTGTACATAGAAGTGACGTCACGCGACATTTCAAATCAATATATCGTCGAAAGTATTCATTTCTGTAAGATAATAAAAAATACGTGTCTAATGATTTAAATAATTTACCAGACGGACATTAAAAAAAAATTAGGCATCTACCCTATTCGCGTTCCATAGTCTCTGCCTATCTTCATGGGAGACAGGCGTGAACTTCACACTGGCAGGCCGTGAAGTTTTGCATGTATATATGCCTAAACGATACTAACCAAGAAGTGTTTTATTTTTGTATTTTAAATACGATAACTCTTTAGCAACCTCGGTTTATCGGGTACTATCATCATCTATGGTATACAAATTGAGTTTAAATCATGAATTAATTAATTATCACACCATTTTGGTCTCCAAAAAGAATGTGGAAGTTACACGTACATTGTAACACCCATTTTTCACCAGTTATAGCTATATTTAACAAGATAACATGGCGGCGCGACCAGTGGCCGCTACCAACAAAATATGTACATCATTATAGATAGGTACTCACTTGGTGTCCGCTTGGTGGGTATACGAGGCAAACAGTAATATGTCATGGTAAAAAGAAGTATTGATAGTAGAAAATTAATACACAAAGAAGAAAGAAAATTTTATTATTGACATCCTAAACTCGACAGCAATTATTATATAAAAATATTGAATTGATTATTACTATGATGTGACATATACCTGATAATTATTATTATTATTATTTTCTTTATGATTTGTAATATCTACCTACAATGTTAATGACAATGAATGTGTACCTACATAAGTAAATGTTGCAATGTCTGTAAGAGGCCGCTAAGTATTAAGCACTGTAATAATTTTATAACCACCATCTGTACACTTAGTTGCAATAAACGCTTTGACTTTGACTTTGACTTTGAAGAAAGAGACGTGAAAGGTGTCATGTCTCTTCGCATTATAGTTGGTCGTAGCCGCGGAAGACTTAACGAGCTTGCACGAGTAGGAACGGGGTGGTTTTTAGTCAGTAAGAGTCTGACACTCCCTCTCGCCTCACCCGGGCGGGAGAAGTCATTGGATGATTTTTCCCCCTCAAAAAAAAGGCATATAATCATTTCAATTTAAATTACTGACTACTTATTTATATAAAGCTGAAAGGTTTGCTTATTTATTTGAACGCGCTTTTCTTATAAACTCCTAGTCCAAATTGAGAAATTTTTATAGTGTCATATAATCTATTTATCGAAAAAGGCAGTCGGCTATAAAAAAAACTCGCTGAAATAAATAGGCACTGAGCATACGGGTACAATCGCGCCCAATTAGCTAGTTTTGTATGAACAAAAAAGTCAGGTAATAAAATCTAGACTATAAGACCTACATCATATAAAATTAAATATTACTGAGAAAAAATAACAAGTTAAGACTATGTATACATTATGTATTTGTATGTATCTCATCAGAATCTAATAAGATTGAGGAGCGCAGCGTAAATTATAGTATAAAGTGAACGAGTACTCTTGGACTGGTCGGAATAAGGCATGGTGTACAAAGTTGGAAATATATTCTAAAAAAAGTAATACCGACCTACATAGAAGTATTTTTATATTAAACGAATTTAATACCCTTTTGTTTAACATCCATAATGGAGGTGGTTATCAATTAAAAATAATTATATTGTGTAGACATCAATATTAACAGTGTGTACCAATATTAGATCGATCTGTCGTTAGGAATGGTGTAAAATTCTATTAACTTTGAACCGAACACACACATATTCACAAACAAATAAAAAAAAATGGTTGCCTGTAAAGTCGTTTTTACGGGCGAAGATTTTACGTGACAACGTCTTTTTCTCGGTAGAATATTTATTGATATGAATATAATTAAATTGCACAATAGGAACAAGGAATTGAATGAACTAGTGCTGCGCGCTCGGCAGACCGATCATAGTTGAGTGGGAGAGAGACGCAAGGCATTCGGCGGGCCTCTCTCTCGTTCGGTGACCCATCGTAACGTTACCGAGCGTTACACTTTTTCATAAGTGACTCCCAGCCGCAACCTAATTTAAGACGTTGTCACGTCAAAAATTAATGGTAAGGATTATGTCTTTTCTCTCATTACCATGGTATCATGATTTGGTGATGATTATCAGCTACGACACGTCGAAATATCACCCCCGGACACCTCAACCAAACATTTTTCTCATATCAAAACCTAAAGTCACGTTTTTATAATAACTATCGTGAGACATACTAAATTAACTAAAAGTCGCGGGTTACTCACGTGAATATACTGAGAAATAAATATAAATGAGAAAAGTATATTTATTTCTCAGTATATTCATGTGAGTAACCCGCGATTTTTAGTTAACCTAAAGTCACATTTCGTCTCAGAAAACGTTTTTATGACAAAACTTATACCCCTACTTAATACTTAAGTAAGAGTCT